TCTCAGTTGGTGAGTTGAGTAACAAACAAAAAGACAGGCCATCATATGATTTCTTTTTTCTTAATTTGAGAGTACTTTTTTGAAAAAATAGATTGCACTACATAAACACTAACTCTCTCAACTGATGAATCATTTCTTTCTTCTTGAGGACCGTGGTACAACTAGGATTTCTCTCTTATCTTTTCCTTTGTTTTCGTTTTTGGCTACCGGTATAGATAAACTAGCTGAAAGCAAGTCTTATCAGGTCTTCTTATTTCTTATGTCCAGATAGTTAGGCTTTGTATTGTTTTTAGTGACCCTTCATGTATTTTTCTTTCATGCAGTCATTCAACAAACATTGTACATCTACTCTGTGCCACAGATACAGAAGTAAACAGGGCCCTAGACCAGAAGAAAAAGACACACAAGAAAGGCATTGATAATTCAGTTTGTTAAGTGCTATAATAAAGATATGCCCAGACTGTGGTGCTGGAAACATAAAGATGAGGAAATACTCCTGAGCTAGAAAAGAGTAAAAATAAGGAAACCCATAGACACTATACTATCATTGTTTATCTGACTCTCCATCAATAGTCAAAATGAGCTCCTTGGGTTCAAGAACCTGATTTATTTCACTAACTCAAGTTCAGCACACTTTTGTGGAGGTGATCTATAGAAATACAGCAAAATGTATTTTCCTGAATATCTTATACACACACACACACACACACACACCTTTTTCCCCTCAAAAGTAGAGTTATTTTTGGTAAAGAGAATAAGGACTAACCTGTAGAGAACAAGGTAGGTGTGGCAGCATATATGCCCATATCTGTTCTGTGTTGGGTTATTTCCTTCCTACTTTAAAAATCCTAGTGATTTTCTAAGGCTTATGATATCCAGGCTGTCTAGATAGAATACCAGCTAATTTCAGTTATCATTAATTACTAATTTCTGAGGTATATGACACCTTTAAGAATTAATTACGACTTCCTTTTCATCTTTATAGCATTTCTATCATCTATTACAGTACTTCTCTCACTGTAATAAGTAAATGTCAGTCTCCCCCCCACAAACTCAGGTCAGGAACTGTGTTTTTGTTTATCTCTGGATGCTTAAGTCAGTGGTGTGCAGATTGTCTGGAACAGAGAAGACCTTCAATAATATTTGATAAATGGATGAATATTTACCAGTTCTGGTTGCCTAAGAAACTTTATATTATTAAACTAAGTGTATCACTCGGAGATAAATAATATACTCATAATAACTCATAACAAAAAATTGGGTTTCCTCTCTTACCTCTTCATTGTGTACATGAATTTCTAGCTATTTTTCTAATTATAATGGGACTATAATTCTATTATTATTCCTAATTTCTAAAAGGGTGGCTCTTTAACATGCTAACCACCAAGGCCTCAACAATAAGCAAAAAGTGCAGTTGCTTGAAGTTCACTCCTGTCAGGGCGTCTATAATGGTCATGTACAAATTAGGACAAGAACAGCAGAGAGCTTTTACTTGTTTTTCTCTCACTTCATTATTTTTATCTGACTTCAAAAATCCATTTTCTACTTTTGACATCTCCAAAGTTCTAGATCTTTATTTTTTTTTTCTAGATCTTTATTTTTAACTGATTACTAGATATTTCCCTCTATCCCACCTCTAGCCTCATAAAACCTGATCAGTATTTGTTTATTCCATCTTGGTTTCCTTTTCTCAAAAGTCATTCCCATCTTTCAATGTCCACCTCAAAGGTCACCTCTTCCAATGCTACTCCAGGCCTGTCATTCTCTTTGCAGTTCTCTTATTGCACTCAACACATCCTCCCAAAGCTTTTGCATCCCTGCATACCATCTCCAGTGAAAGCACTTGGGAGTTTCCTGAACAACCATGCTCCCCCCCATTTTCATGCTTTTGCAAATTCTGCACCAAGCTACAATGCTCTATCCCCATTCCTGTAGTCTTCCACTGAAGAAGTTACCAAACCACTGTAAATGTTGAAATACACTGTTGTTTTTTTCAATAGACTCTTCACACTTGTGGGAAGGTACATTTAACAAATTTATACCCTCTTTATCTAATACAGTGCTCAATAAACATGTGACGAATGGGTGGATGATGCTTAAATGTGGAACTAGCCTAAGATCCTAAGGTAAAATTTAAAAAACATAAAAATTGTAAAATGGTGGGGTCACTTTGAAAAACAGTTTGGCTGTTCCTCAAAATGTCATAGTGTTTCCATATGACTCAGCAATTCCACTTCTAGGTTTACACTTGAAAGAAATGAAAAGATATGTTCTCACAAAAACTCATACACAAATATTCATGCCAGTGCTTTTCTTAATATCACAAAAGGGGGACTAATAAAAATGCTCATCAACTGACTGTTGCGCATCCACATTATGACTATTACTTAATCATCAAACGAATTAAGTACTGATGTGCATTACAACACAGATGAACTATGCAAACATTACGCTAAGTCAAAGAAGCCAGACACCAAAGATCACATACTGTATGATTCCATTTATGTGAAACGCCAGAATAGGCACAGAGACAGAAAGCAGATTGCTGGCTGCCAGGAGGTGAGGGCAGAAGGGAATGGGGAGTGATTGCTGAGGGGTTCAGGATTTCTTTCTGGAGTCATGAAATATTTTATAATTAGCTAGTGGTTATAGCTGCACAACTCTGTGAATATACTAAAAACCATGCAACTGTATACTTTTAAAGGGTAAACTTTATAGTACATGAGTTTTATCTCAATAAAGCTATTACTGGAAAATGAACACAATAATGAGAATGCTCTATCTGCTCCAGATTTTTAATCAGGGGCTTAATCTTTGAAGTTACAATACAACTCTGCTTCCTAAAACTTGCTTATCTTCCATCTTAATCAATTATACAATTATAGAAATGTTGGAACATTAAAAGACCCTTCTAAATTAACCCCTTCATCACCTTACAGATAAGAAAACTGAGCTCCAAGAAGGATAAATGACTTGAACAAGGTTGTATAGCTAATAGTGGGACCAAGAAGACCTCACTCTCTGTCCAATCACACATCTTTTTTCTTAGTTGAATTGACAACTTTCTTCCTGAAATTCCATTTTTTTTTATTTAAAGGACAAAAATACCTTAAAAGGAAGAAGATCAATTTATCTTTCATATTGTCTAATAACTATTACTAGATTGTAAGAAATATTTTTAAAAGGCTAAGGAAATAGCTACATCTTTCTGCTTCCTTGTAAGAATTGTAATAACTACATCTTTCTGCTTCTTACAATGAGAAAAGACAACTATTAGTATTTAAAGGTTTTACTCCTTAAAAATAACATAACATAAGATTTTATAGTAATAGTTAGGGATAACAACAAAGACCACTTCTTTCCCCAGGAAATGGAAATAGACACTTAGCTAAGATACTACATATCTGGAAATTTGCACCTGATCCTTCAGAGAGAAGTCAAATGTAATACACAGGAAAATATCTTTCAGAATATCATATTCTGAAGTTCCCCTCTGAGATGCATTTTTTGTGGTCTTTGTATAGCCAATGGCAGAAATAGGTGTAATAGGTAACTTTTGATGTAGTTATTCTCTCAGGAGATTTTCTATGACAGTGAAATTTTCTTTGAAGTTCAAAATTGTTCTTTTCACCAAGCAGGACCTTTTAAATGGTAGAATTTTTCATTTGTTTCCACATGTAAAACAAAAACAAAACATACTAAGTTTCACTGATAATATTTTTTGTTAAAAAAAAAAAAGCATTAGTCAATGTTGACCTTCAAAAGCTCATTGTACAAAACATCATCCTACAACTTACAGCCAGAGGGTAACTCAGTGATTGTATAGTGTACTATCTCCCTGACTGGTGTCTACATGTATCCGAGGACAGCACATTTGAAAGGGAGTGTGGGGAGCTGAGGGGCTGGGACGGAAGGGGAAGGATGGCCGTAATGACAAATATTGCTACACACTCACTTTAGGAAATTCTGGGTTAATTCAAAAAATATTTAATGAGCACTATGTGTCAGACTCCAGACCAGATGCTAGAGTGAAACAGGTGTATGCCAGGATTTCTTAGTGCCTCCACCAGGCTAGTGTTGACCATGACTTTATCAGCTATACACACCAGTTTGCCCAGACAGCCCGTTTGGAACGGCTGTTCCAGGATCAGTAGCATTGCCTTTTGTTCCTGCCATACTACCTGTGACTCTCTAAGTTGGGGAGTGTGATATGAGTCAAATGAGTCATACTCATATGAGTCAAACTCATATGACTAATGAAACTCCTGTATCTACATTCCTACAGCCATCTCTTAGAATAGAAGTCCACAGAACACAGTTCTGGAAACGCTGATCCACTCCATTTTCTCCATGTGATAGCTAGGAAAGTCGGGCCCAGAGAGTTAAATAGACTCAGTGGGAGAATGGCAGAGCCTAGGCCTCCTGGCCCCTTTCTCTGATGCACGTTTCCACACATCACTGATTGTTATACCAGAACACTCTTAACGTGGAGTTTAAAAATCCTATTATTAGATAACAAGTATTATATATTTTCTCCTAATACAAAAACAAGTCTCTCAATTTTACATGTTAATTTCAACTTAAATGGAGTTCATTTTTTTTCCTTTTTAAATCATAACTGTAGAATTAACCAAAGGTGGAGTCAATGAGAGAACAGCACCTCATAGTCAACTCTTCAAGCTTGTAAGCCAAGTTTACTTATTTTCTATTCTCTGCTTTCCCTCCACTTACTCTGGCAAATATGAGGTGATGGATTTCTTCATATCTTCAAAGACTCACTGGCCTCTCAGGTGTGGTTAAGGGGGGTGGAGAGGAGCTAATTTTATCAACTATTGGATTTTCCAGTACAAAGCATTCTGTATAATATTTTACTCCTCTTTATGGTTCCAAGTGTCCTTTAAGTGAAGATACTACTTTCCAATGAATCATGAACACTACATCAAAAACTAATGATGTACTGTATGGTGACTAACATAACATAATAATTAAAAAAAGATACTTTCCTGGACCATTCGGTACACCTATGAAAACTCTAAAGATTTTAAAATTACAATATAATCCCTTTATTCTTTCTGGTCTATTTCTATGCTTACTAATGAAAGCTATGTTCTGATTCTGGTTGCACCAAAAGATAACCTTAAGATCATGCAAAGAATTCTATTTTTAAAAATCAGTTAGTCATATTTTGGGTCACACATGGCCACTGCTATTTCTAGCTAACCGTATTATAGGTAACTTAGTTATTTGACAGAAGAGGAAGTGAATGGTTATATAAACTTTAAAAAAAACTATTTCTTATTAGCTAAGAAGTACAAGTAACCTTTTTTGGGGACATAAATAAGTAGAAAATACTAGTCAAAACAGGGTTTAAACTTAGGAAATTCATTTCTGTACTGTTTATCGTTTTGCCCATTACCAAGAAAAAGGAGTTCATATTAATCTTAGACAAGATAACCAATCAAGCAGATGAAAAGAAAATCACAACGTGATTAAGGCAGAAGACCATTTCTAGAGAGAATCTATTCTTGGATTTGTAGATGGAGATCTGACATATATGCGGCAGAACATCCTTCTCATAATCAGATTGGAAGTTGTGATTGTGGTGTAGAGCTTTGACTTTTGGAATAGAGTACTCTCTTCTGTGATTAAAAAAAAAAAGGACTGCCTATGATAATTTACCATTTGAAGCAATAAACTTATTCACATTTAACTACTGTACTCAGAATCACCTGCTAAAAAAAAAAGAATACAGATATTGATCACATCAAACATTTTCATTGAGAAGTTGACACAGACACCCATACAGTTTATCATGGATGGTCTCAGAAGCTTTCCTGTGTATGAGAAACAGAACTACAGGCCTTTTTGTACAAGTTCCTGTATATCTTGTCCATGCTGTTTTCAAAGATGGGTCGGTGGGATTTTCCTTTATAAGAGGCTGCCCTGTTGGACCAGTATTCACCATCATCCAAATGGAGAGTGCCACGTGGCCGCTGAAATGAGCTATAAAAAAGGATATAAAATATTAAAACTGGTGAAACTCAATGAAAGGTAGTATTATATAAATCAAATATTTACTGAGTACTTTATGGGTGTGATACTCTGGGCTGTGAGAAATAAAAGACAATAAGGTCTGTGCCTTCAAAGAGTGACCCTATTTGTATGAAACTATTACAAAACAGTAAAATGAAAATTGTGTCTGAGAGAGAGAGTTATGAAGAATTCAGAGAAGGGAGATGTGTGTGATGTGGTAAAAGCAGGGTGCAGATGCTGTGGGAAGGCCAGTCATGAGAGCTCCGGGCCTCTCAAGTCAGGCAGACACGGAACTGAGTAACAGCTCAATCCTTTATAAGCTGTGAACCCTGGGGCAATTTATTTAATCATCCTGAGCCTCAGCTTCCTTTACTGTATTTTCTGCAGTATTGTTTTAAAAATCAAAGACAATATGTGTAAAGTATATAGTACAGTGCTTACTCTGCACACACAAGTTATTAACCACGAGGCACTAAACTACTAGGTATTTTATAGATATTTATCTAAAAATCTGAGGATGCTCTGAAGTTGGTAGCTGTGGAAACTGAGGCTCAGTGAAGTCAAGGACTTGCCTATGGCCACTCAGCTAGTGACTGGCAGAAGAGAAAGAGATACCACATCTGTGGCCTTGAGGCCCCTTCCACTATGGCAAACTGCTATTGTCCTCAAGGAGGAGTAGGTAAGAATTAGCCTGAATATGAACCACTTCCGGAAAATGGAAAACAAGGCAAAAAAGTCTGTATTTGAAGTGATAGGGATCCAATTTTGAGGGTCTTGAAGAAAAAAGAGAGAATAGATAGGAAGCTATGAAATAGACCAGGACTAGGCTAATTATAATGAGAATAGAGAAGAAAAGGCAACTCCTTTTGAAGGTTTGATAGTACTTTAAAAAACATACCATAGTTACAATTTTACTATCATAAATATTAAGTTGTGGGCTTAATATATTACTTGTTGGAAACAAAATGTTGACTTTTTCAAGGACTGAGTTTTATTTTTTTAATAAATAATTGACCTACTTCAAGAAATTAATTACTTGTTATAGATAAGACTCTCAAGGGATGTTAGAGATTATCAAGTTTGTGTCATATAAAACTGTATGTTCCGGTTATTAAATGCCACAAATATTTTATTCATACATTTGGAATCTCACTTCAAACAAACAATTTCTTCCTTGACTTATCAGTCCAGTGTTACCTCTATTGTCAACTGTGAAACAGAAACTCTTAGGGCTGTATATCTGTAAGAAGAATTTGCTATTTGACCTGAAGTCAATCTAACACCTGAACACAGTAAAAGAGACCACAAAAAAAGGCATGGAGTAGGCTGGGTTACCATTCTTGGAGCTTGACATGGTGTCCGTGAGGATGTAAAGTCGTGAGAACATTTATACACTCACTTTGGAAGAGTTTGGCATGACCCAATAAGGTTGAATATGCAATTTCAAGCCAGTCATCCCACTCCTGGGTACCCTAGCAAAATTCTTACACATATGTACCAGGAGACATGTACAGACATGTTCATAACAATACCCTTTGTAAAAAAGCTAAGGACTGGAAGCTACCTAAATATCCATCTACATTAGATCAGATATGCATAAAATGGTATGTGCATACAATGATATAATATGCAGCAGGGAAAATTAATGATCTATAGCCACATGCATCAATGTGATGAAACTGAAAAACCAATGGAGTGGAAAAAATAGCAAATTCCAAACAATACACAGTTATACTTACATTTATGTAAAGTCTAAAACAAGGAAAATTTAACAACTTATTGCTGAAGGATAGATTCACGTGTGGTATAAATATAAAGAAAAAAAGGATTAATAGAAAAGCTATAATAACAGCTATCTCTATGGAAAGAAATGCAATTGGTTCAGAGCATAAGGTGGCTTTGGAGGTATGGCTAATGTTCTATTAAGCTGGATGGTGAGTAAATGGGTATTCATTTATTATATTATTATCATTATTATTATTACTTAGGACGCACAAACCTTAAACATACCCCCTGTTAAAAGTAATATATGTGATATGTTTTTAAAAATTCACTTCTGTGAACCACGACAAGAGGTCTCTCCATTTCCTCATGGCTTTGCTAAGATGAAATTTTACCTCATATTTTCTAATAATATTTACTAGATCCTGTCAAACTTTCTTTACACTTGGTGCTGCTTCTTTCACACTGGAAAATTTTGAAAATGATATAGTCTCTGGGATAACAAAGGTGTTTTAAAACATGATTGTCATTACTTCTATCTTGTCCATTCAGTTAAGGAGGGATAATTAAGACAATTTCTAATAATGTCAGTATAATATTTAAAATTGTTCAAAAGGCCTTAGCCAAGTCTCAGTGCTCTTGCTTTGATATAATTACCACATTTCTTTCATTAGCTTTGCTGAAGAAATAGTCTAGCCACTGAATACAATTTCTGATTTGGGGATTTTTTTCACCAAGCTTAACTCCTGTTGTCACAACTTTTTTTTTTTTATTTGACAGTTTGAGTCAAAAGATAGGGAAATCACATACTCACAAATATATTAACAGAAACATTTCTACATCTTTTGTGCCTCTGCAACCGTATCTACCAGCCTAGGTCCCCACATTTGCCTGTGTTCCCTCATACTACTTTAGGAATCCCACCATGTTGTGTTTTGCTTGGTTGGTTGGTTTTTGTTTATTTGTTGACTTGTTTTGCAACAAATCATGAACTAATGAAAATTTCACAAAACACAGGTTTGTCCTTATCTCCCTGTCCACGGTCATCAACTTTACTACATGCTGATGGCCAGATAATAATGTTCTTTTCTGAATTCTACATTTTGTTTAGTTGCCAGGCTAGTTCTATGATAAACCTACTGAAGAGAAGTTTGAATTTCTAACACACACCTCTACCCTGCTCTCAGAGAGGTAAAGGAGCAGTACAGCTGCTAACTTTAAAAATCATTGTGTAGATTTCTTCTGAGAGTGTAAGCCAAATTGCCACTCCTATCATCAATTACAATATTTAATATTACCTGGCATAGATTTGCTACTGCTTTGGTTCCATTAGACAATATATTTTTTTTCATGTCTCAAAGCTATCTTAAAGTATCACCTCAGTGGCTTGCAATGAATAAATAAAATTCAGAAAGCTTTTTGGAAGCAAACATGAACCTGATAAGGTTCTGTAAAGAAGAGCTAAAGCAGCCAAAATACACATCCTGATGCCTTTAGATCTTGTAAAATTTGGCAGCAAGTTTATTTCTATTTAAATTGCAAAATTCTTCAATTTAGTAAACAATATTGTAATTCTCTGGAGAGAATTTAGGAATTAGTTCAGCCTGGAAGTCTGAATTGCAAAACAGAGATGTGAACACAGAACAGGTCCTAATATGGTCCACAGATAGGTGCAAACAAGAGTTTCATAATCCTAAAAATGATATTTACTTCCAGACATGAAAGTATTAACTCTCTAATGAACTGTGAACATATTGAGTCAATTCTGATTTCTCATTACTGAGTATATTAATAAGTTTACAATGTGTAAGTGACACTAAAAAGTTTTATTATAGTAATAGGCTTTTAAAAATTATACTTCTCTATTTTACCATGAGTATCTCCAGCATTCATACACTCAAAGCATTTTAGTGAATTCCTACTAAACTCTAAAAACACTGCATCAATGCTATATACCCTTAAATGGTTACCTTCAAAGTGCGGATGATGTTTTATTAATGCAGTGCATTTTGTTTTAATTAACTTACTCTTGCTACTTAAGTAGGGAGCCCTGTATTTAACTATGATAATGCTATTAAGAAAAAAAAGACAAAAAAGAACAGATCAGGATAATATCCAAGAACTGTACAGCTTCAAATCCTAAGTGTTGAAAAGGCCTAGCATATATGCAAAGGAGAGAAAGGTCTTAGGCAGTTTAGCATGAACTAGGAGACAAAGGACATTACTAATTTTTTGCTTCAAAAAGAATGAACTCACTTGAAACCCTAATGTTTGTGATGTATGCTTTAGAGGCACTGGATGGATGGATGGATGGATGTATAGGCAGGTAGATGTATGTATGTATGGATGTATGGATGAAAAATAGGAATGGAACTACTCAAAAGTCTTGGAGGTCAGAATACATAATAGGAAGAGGATATATTATGGTTTAATAAAATCTGAAAAGTATTTAGTATTTTTAAAGATACCATATAAAGATAAAATGTCATTAAAGGCATAAAAATTTACTGATAAATTATAGCAGTAGTTCTCAAACTATAATATGCATCAGAGTCATCTGGAAGGCTTATTATGACTCAGATTATTGAGTCTCACCTCCAGAGTTACTGAGGTAGAGTCCAAGAATTTGGATCTCTAACAAATACCAAGGTGATGCTGATGTCACCGGGTCTAGAAACTATCCTTTAGAAAGCACTGAATTAGAGACTTTGTTTTCTATGGGAACAAAAAAGCTCAGGGAAAAAATTGCATCTTGTCATTTATCTTCTTTTACCATTAGCAGAAACCATATAGTAAACTTTAAAAGAAGTATATTCAGAGAAATTTGCTGAAGACTGGTTACTTATAGGTCATTTTTTTTCTCTTCCATGACTAAGAATGTGTAGAAATGAGCCACTGACAACAAATAAAGTCTAACAGCTTTCATTATTATTAATTCCTTTCTTGATTCCTTATCTAGACATGTTACTAAATATCACAATTAAAATATGAGTTTACTTAAATGATAGAGTTTTAGCAATGTAACTGATCTTTATTAATAAAGAACCTAATTTTAATATTGCAACTATTTTTCTAAATTGAGCTATTACATGTCAAAGACCTTGATGGGCAGTCAAAAACAAAGATAAGTAACATATCTGTACCTTCAAGGAGCTCACATTTAATAGAAGAAGACAAGATAGACACATAATGAAATAGTTATTATATGAAAAATGTTGCTAATTGAGATGAAATACACGAGAGGAAGT